AGAGGATGCCCATCCACTGGGGAATGGCTGAGCAAGTTGTGGTATATGAATGTAATGGAATACTATTGTGCTATAAGAAATGATGAACAGGCTGACTTCAGAAAAACCTGTAAAGACTTATATGGTCTGATGCTGAGTGAAGTGAGCAGAACCCCCAGAGGACTTTGTACACAATAATAGCCACGTTATACAATGACTAAGATTGTTAAACTGAACCCTTCTCAGCATTATGAGGATCTAAGACATCTCCAGAGGCCTCAGGATGGAAAATGCTGTCCACATCCAAAGAAAGAACTATGGAAGTCGAATCGCTATCACTTATTTTTACCTTCTGTTGAGTTTTGTTTCATCTTTCTGATGGTTCCTCCTATTGGTTTTAATTTTTACTTACAACTTCACTAATGTGAAAATATGTTTAATGGGTATGTAAATGTAAAGCCTATATCAGATTATGAGCCGTCTTGGGGAGAGTGGGGGGAGAGGAAAAGGGAGAAAAATTTTCAACTCAAAAGCATATGGAAAAAAAAAAAGTTGGCATGTCAAGCAAATCCCCGAACCACTGTGTATAGCTCTTGATCGTAGGAATTGGGAAAAGGGATTCAGAATAGAATGGGGTAGAGTTTCTAATGATTGGTGATATCCTTGTGAAATCATTAGAAGCAGGCTATAACAAATAAGGAGAGAGCTCAACAGGTAGCTGTCACTGTTCTTTTCTACCTGTACTGGAAAAAAAAGCTACTAATAATGACATATTAAGAAATTAGTTTCTTAATTTATATAACATTATAAAGAAAAACAACTTTGAAAGATTTGAGGATTTCAATCACTGAAATGACAGAATATGATTCCAGAGGACTGATACTACCAATGTCCTGACAGTCATTCAGTCAGTCAATAAATATTTATTGAATGCCTATGATAAGCCAGGCAATGTGCTAAGCACTGGGGACAGAAAGAAAGTTAGAAGACAGTCCCTGCTCTTGAGGAGCTCACAATCTAATGGGGAGACAACTTGGGGGGCAACCAGTAAAAATGCTCAGAGTTAGGAAGTAAATTGTCTTGTTTGAGAAACAGTAAGGAGGCCAGTGTTACTAGATGGAAGAGTACATTTGGTGTAAGGTGTAAAGAGATTGGAAAAATGGGGTGGGGTGGAAGATTAAGAAGGGCTTTGGTTTTTTGAAATAAAATTTTGTTGATATTTTATGTTTCTTATAAGTATTCCTTGTATCTCAAATATTCCTTCCCTTCCCCATCCCTAAGAGCCATACCATGTGACAAATAGTATTTTTTTGGGGGAGGAGGGGAAGCAGCACAACTGATCAATATACTGAAAAAATCCAAAAACACGCATTTTATAACACTTGAGGACCTCTCATCTCCAGGAAGAGGTAGGTTGGGAGTGTCTTCTTATATCTCTTCATTTGAATTCTGTTTGATCTTTATAATTTTGTTACATTTGTTTTTTATTTTGAGGTCTATAGTTCTTTTCATTTACATTGTTGTAGTTATTGTGCATATTGTTTTCTTAGCTCTGCTTGCTTCACTCTGCATCAGTTCATGTACATTTTCCATGCTTCTCTGTATTCATCACACACATCATCTAGTACATTCATGTACCACAATTTGTTTAGTCATTCCCCAACTAATGGGCATCTACTTTGTTTCCAATTCTTAGCTATCACAAAAGGGACTACTCTAATACTTTGGAGTACAGGGGGACTTTCTTATGAAGGGCTTTGAATGCCAAAGAGAGTTGATCCTGGGGGTAATAGGGATTCATTTGAGTTTATTGAGTGTGAGGAGAAGGGGAGTGACTTGGTCAGACCAGCACTTTAGGAAGATCACTGGCAGTTGAATGGACTAAAGTGAGGAGAGACTAGTGGTGGAAAGACCTACCAGTAGCCTATTGAAATAGTATAGCTGTGAGATAATGAGGGTCTGTACTAGGGTGGTAGTATTAGCAGAGGAGAGGAGATGTATGAAGGTAAAATTGACTGGCCTTGACAACAGACTGGATACAGACTTAAGATGCAGAATAAAACATACATTTTAAGACACGGCTAATGTGGAATTTGCTTTACTTGACTGCATATTTGTTAGGTTTTTTTCTTTTTTTTTGTCATTCAGTGGAGGGAAGGGGAGTAAGAGGGAGAGAAAATAAGTGCTTGTTAATAAAAAAATAAATTAGTTCTTTTGTAACACTGAGTTTTATTGGAATTCTCCACTTCTCCCTCTTATTTAAATATCCTAGAGTGTAGTGGATAGAAAGCTTGCTTTGAAGACAGAAGGAAATTCTGACTATGACACATATAGGCTGTAATTACCCTGGGAAAGTCACTTAACTTTTCAGTGCTTTAGGTTAACTCTGTAGGTGTGTAAGTCAAAGGGAAGGTAAAGGGATTGGCAGAGAGATTTCCTTACCTGGGAATTCTCTGTACTAATGAAATCAGGTGCAGTCCCTATCCTTTCAATATCTTAGTCTGCTCTGTGCTTTCAATTTTGAGGCAAATTACTGCAACCTGCCTTCTCTGGTTGACTCCAAATTTATTTGCTTTGGGTTTTTTGAAGTGAATAAATAAGTCTGATAATACAGACCCTCAGAGGATACTTTAAGGGGTACCTAAGCCAATTGAAAAGTGATTTTTTTTATCCCAATAGGAAATTTTTGTACCTTTCTAGCCTGGTAACTTACAGATATACCAGATCAGGCATAGTAGCAGTTCTTTACCCATTTTAGATTTGTAGTTCCAGTTTAAAAAAAAAAGTCTAATACAGAGGTTATACATTTTATGCCTACATATCCTCAACTCCACATGAAACAGGATTCCACACCATAGGAGCCTATCTTTTCCCAGTTAGGAGAGCCAATTAATGATGGGACCTTTTTTGACTTTGAGACATGGTTAACTACCTACCTATTTTCTTAGTCCTCAGACTTAACTAGGAGACTATGATCTACCTTCTACCGTCCTCTTCAGCATGAACCTCTCCTATGGTCTTTTTAGGACTTGTCAACTAATGGACCCTGCTTGTCTTATAGATCTTTTAATAATACCGTACATATGATCAAATGATAAGATGAAGGCAAAGGCACTTTGGAAATCTTGAGGCACTAATTCTTGTCAGCTATTATCATTATTACATAGAACTTTGTATTAGAAAATATTTTCACATATTCTTACAATAATCTTTTGAAATAGGCAGGACAGATATTGTCTCCATTTTTTAGATGAAAAAAACCAAACCAAACAAAAAACTGCCTGCCAGAGAGGCCTCCCTGAATCACCCAACTTGTAACAAACTTGGCTAGTAGAGACGGAATTAGAACCTAATTCATCTGATTTCTAAAGTGTTAGCTCTTTGTCTGCCATAGCAAGCTACCTCTAAACATACTCTAGGGTCACGGTGGCTCTTTACACAATTTTGCGCCTATCTTTCTTGTCACCTAGGACATCGAATTCTTTTTCTGCTATATACTTGCCAAGTCAATCTTCCTTAATCCTGTATTTGTATTACTATAGATATTCGTTGTTCCTTACTTTGCCGATTTATAAACTTGCCCTGGCTGGATTTCATCCTGCTTTTGTAGCAGCCCTTTTGCCAGGTTTGGTAATTTTGAATTTGGTGTTATGATAATTTTGAATTCTACCTTCCAACCTCATCTAATTCATAGTCCCTGAAAATATGCCAAGCATTGTTGCTATTATTTTTTTCTCAGGACAATCAATAAAGACATTGAATGGGCCAGGCCCCTGGGGGTGATCAGTTTTGTATTTAGTATTATGATAGATTTGTATCGTCTCCCACCTCATTTAATCCATACTACCTGAAAATGTTAAGTATTGTTGCAATTATTTTTTTCTCAGGATAATCAATAAAGATATTGATTAGGCCAGTCCCCTTGGGGTGATTTCACCTACATGGTATGAAGTCTGGATAGAGAGCCTGGAAGACCTAAGTTAAAATCCAGCCTCAAACACTTAACTAGCTGCGTGGACAAGTCACTTAATCTCTCTGGGCCTCAGTTTCCTCATCTGTAAGACGGGGGAATCATAATTTCACTTCCCTTACAGAGTTGTTATAGGATCAAAAGAGATAATACGTGAAGTGCAGTTTGCAAATGTGAAAGATTATATAAATGCTAGCTATTACTATTATCCTCCCCGCTGGGCCCTTGTGAGAGAAATGAAAAATTCGTCCTGGGTCCCACCACCCTCGGTTTTACCACCAGAAATGCAATTTTTCTAATTTCTCGGTTAGAATGTCGTGTGGGAACCACAGAAAAAGTTTTCATGGAATCGAGCTCCATCTCTGCATTGGCTTGGCTGGATGAACTCGGCACAAAACCCGAGTCGGCTCAGAGCAGCATCTCGTTAGTCACTGGTCGCCAATTGATGGAAGATTCCGTCCCATCCCCATCCCCCTCACTCGTTTTAACGTTAAGCTGTAGCTTCCCGGGGCATCTTTCATTCCCACCTTGACCCCTCAGGGCTGTCCACGCGCAACACTTTTTTTTTTTTAAGAAAGGAGCAACATTTGCCCCCTTTCCCCTGCCTACATAATTCCCGTGGCCTCTTCGATTTCTTAAAAAAGAAAACCATAATAATCAGCGTGGCTCTCCATCTCGCTCCCGAGGCGCCCCGCCCCTCTCTCGTCTCGCTCCCACCGCCTCCCACCTCCCCCGTGCCCTTCCGAGCTTCTCAGCCCCGGGCAGACAAGGAAGACAGGAGCGCGCGCCAGACGCCAGAACGTGCGTCTTTGCGCACGTCCTCGCGAAGAGCGCCGGAAGGAGGGCGCGCGGGGGAAGGGGGATTCTGCGGGGCTGCCGGGCGGAGGCGCGCGCCCGCCTTCTCGCCCGCTCGCCCGCCTGTCCGCGCGCCGCCGCGCTGTTGCTGTCGCCGCCGCTGGTGCTGCTGCTGAGCCGCCGCCGCCGCCGCCGCCGCTGGTGCTGCTGCTGTGCCGCCGCGGCTGCGGGAGGCGGCGCTGGCTGGCGGCTGGGCTCGCTCTAGTCAGCCGGCGAGGGAGCGAGCGAGAGTGTCTTTTAAAGATGGCCGGAGCGGCGGCGGCGGTGGCCGCCGGAGCAGCCGCCGAAGCAGCCCCAGCCGCGGTGGCCGTGGCGGCCCCGGGCCGGGCCTCGGCGGCGCCGCCTCCGCCGCCTGTGTACTGTGTGTGCCGGCAGCCGTACGACGTGAACCGCTTCATGATCGAGTGTGATATCTGTAAGGACTGGTTCCATGGCAGGTAAATAAACCGACACCCCCCCCCTTCCTGCGGCTGTTCCCCTTCACCCCCCGGCCGCGGGGAGCCGGCCCCCGGTTGCCGGGAGCGCACGGTCCGGGCAGGGAGCCGGGAGCGACCGCCGCGGTCCGGGCCGGCTGCCGGGAGCCCCGTCTCCCTCCGCCTGCCGGGTCCCGGCCGGCGACGAGGTGGCGACCGGGGTGAAGAGTCACCACAACAAACAGGAACAAAGGGGGCCCGAGAGTGAAGTTGGCAGAGGGGAGGAGTTGGTGCCGGGGACCGCGGCTCGCAGCCCGGCGGGCTCGGGGTGCAGTGGGGGGGCCCTGCCGGCCGTCCTCACACCCCCCCCACCGCCGCCGCCAACAGGGGTGTCTGGGGGGGACCTCCCTGCTTTCGGGACGGACTCAGGGTTTGCCTGAATTCTACGTCTCGAGCTTCCCTTCCCTTCCCCCCCCAGTTAAAATAAATCATGATCGTGTTTTCATGGAAACATTTCATCCCTCTGCTTGCGTCGGGGGGCGCGACGTCGTTGTCGCCTCCAATCGAAAGCCCCAGCCCCGGGAAGCCGTGCTCAAGTAAACATAGCAACAGATGAGGAGGCACGGGCTGTCGGGTACTTAAAAAAGAACAGGAAGAAGAAGAAAATTCCGTCCTGTTAATTGGAAGTTTTCGGCTCTGGCTCTCTCCCGAGGGGGCGGCAGGTTGGGAAGCAGCAATTGGCACCCGCTTGGATGCTTCCCCGCCCCCCCCCGGGGGAGCGGGACAGCTGGGCCTTGGGGGGGCGGGGGGAAAAAGAGGAAGGGGCGGCTGGGATTCCCGGCCCTTTGCTCCCCCTCCCCCCCAAAAGAAACTTTACAGAGAGACTTCACCCGGGCCGACCCAGGTCCTCTTCGCCTTTCTCCCCCCCACCCCCCACCCCCGGGGTTTTACTGGAATGAACTTTAGTCGATTGTGTCGGGACTTGGAGTCTCGGTCGTGGTGGTGGCAAAGGTCTTTACCAGAAGTGAGTCGCCTCCGTGTTTCTGGCTTTGACGTTTGTGGGAGTCGTGGGGCGGCCAGGCCGCCGACTCATGTGTTTTGTAATCAAAGTGTGTGGCTAATAAAGGGCGGCGCCACAGCCTCTGGACTCCGGCGTGGGAGGGATTCACGGGCATTTAAACAAAGAAACTAGTTGCGAATGGGCCACCAAAGTCCTTATTTGGGGGTTTAGGCGCTACCCTGGGGGGACCCTCAGGGGAGATGGGTTCCCTGGCCTGGGCTGGGTCGAATATCTTGTCAAAATCAAGCTCTGGAGTGGTGGCAGATATGGTGGCTGTGATTGTAGGAAATGTCCTTTGATTGACAGCAGGACATTTAAATACACCCCCCCATCCTCCCCTTCCCCCTCCCCCCATTTTACAAAAAACAGAACAGGACTAAGCATCTTTGGCGCCCTCCACTGGTTCGGGAATGGAAAGCTATTAAGTACTGTTATCTCGCTGGAGCATCTGTGCCCAGAATTCTGGAGATACCGAAGTGACAGGTCAGTTTTGTTTACATTAGTAGCTCCTGGGGTAGGAAATCCTGTTATAAACAATCCCAGTTTAAAACCAAACCAAAACCAAACCAACCAAACTCCCAGATCTTTAGGAGGACAGCTCCTTAAATTAGGTAATTTAATATTTAGTTTTCAAGTAGTTTGATGACCTTATTGCAACACAGAAAATTCACAAAATAAAATTTTAGAGTTAGAAGTGACCCAAAAGATCGTCTTGTAGTTGAAATCAGTGTTAATTATTTAAATCAGGTGCACTGCCTACTGCTATTGAGTGATAGCTGCCCTTTATTTTAAATGGGTAGAGTATTTAATTGTACCATGTTTTGTATATTCAGACATCCTATTTCTGCATTATAGCACATCTTTATCCTATAGCTTTGGTTGCAAATAAACTAAAATAAGATTGTATAATTTTGGAACTTTGGCTTTGCATGATACACAGATATCTTTTAAAGTATGTATAAAAATTAAAATTACAAGTAGTTTTCTGGTATAGTTGGTCACATTTATGTTGTATTTGTTGCTTATGTTGGATTAAAACATAAGAAAAATGAATGTAGTTTAAAAAGCAAATTATTTGACTTTTAGATGTCTGATATTTTTAGTGCTGTGCAACAGTTAAGCTTATATTACTAGTGACTTTCACAAAGAAATTTATAATACTGTGTTTAACTATGAATTTCAAGGGCAAGGAGATGAGGAATCTAGGAAAAAGGCATAAGTAAAAAAAAAGCAAGATCTCCAATATGAATTAAACAGCATGATTTTATTGTAATTAGAGTACTGAAATAAACTTTTCTGAGTATAGATAATTTTGTTGTAAACATTTGATGTTTTCTTTTGAAAGTAAAGTTAATGTTATATAGTTTGAAAATTGTAAGGGGGTAGTAGGTGGTAGGGGGCAGCTAGGTGGCACAGTGGATAGAGCACTGGCCCTGGAGTCAGGAGGACCTGAGTTCAAATAGGGCCTCAGACCAAACATTTGACACTTACAAGCTGTGTGACCTTGGGCAAGTCACTTAACCCCAATTGCCCCCCCCCAAAAAAAAAGAAAAGAAAAAAGAAAAAAAAGAAAATTGTAAAAATAGGAGATTTGTGAAATGGCACTACTCACATACAAAAGAAGTATTTTAAATCTTTAGCATGTTGAGTTGTTAATGAAATCTTGGTGATAGGGTACCTTAATACAGAAAAATTATTTTCCCATAACAAACTATTGTTGTGTGATACTTAAAAGAACTGATACAAACGTATTTGTATTCCCTGTTTGTGTACCTGTGTTTTGGCCTGCTAGAATGGAGACTTCTTGAGGGAAGAGACTGAAAAAATTTTTGTCTTTGTATCCCCAGTTGCTAGCTCAGTTGTTGGTACCTAGTTGGTGCTTAATAAATACTGGTTGATTTGATCAGTGACCCAGAGTTGGATGCAGTTAAGACTAGTTAGGAAGCTTTTGCAGGGTCATAGCTTCTAAGACAGAGGAGCTGGATGACCAGTCCTCGGGTGGTAGCATGAAAAATAGGAAGGAGGCAAAGGAGGGGGAGATATCACAGTTAGAATTAATAGATTTTGTCTACTGATTGATTGTGTAGGATGAAGGAAGAGTCAAACTCCCCAGGTTCTGAGCCATGGATAACTGGGTCGGTGGTGGTGCCATCAACAAAAAGGGAAGATAAGTTGAGATAGATTATTTTTTTGTGGGAAGATGAGGAATTCAGTTCTGGACATTGAGTTAGAGTTTGCCACATGAGTGCAGGCCTAGAGATAATAGATTTGGAGAGTCATCTGCCTATAGGCGATAATTAAAGCCACAGGAGTGAATGAGATGACAACGGACAGAATGGAGAGAGAGAGAGATGGGATAGAGTCTTGCAAGGTTATGTAAAACTAAAAGTCTGTATTTCTAGGAGTGAATAATTAATGAAAAAGCATTTATTATATCCTTCCTATATGCCAAACACTATCCTAAGTACCAGGGGCAGAGATAGAAAATTAAGATGGGTTCCTGACCTCAAGGAGTTTGTTTTCTAATAGAAGCAGATAATTGTCTTCTTTAATTTACATGGAATACCTCACTTCATGATGCTGCAGGCAAATGAGGAGTCCCTGTGTTTACCTTATACCACCTCTTTGGGGATAAGATAGTCCATAAATTTAGTGAACTAGTGTTTCCATTTATTTGTCTCTAACTTTACTCAAGTATCAAGGTTCTCATATTTTGGAATTTGGTGAATAAGTGTATTTTTCTTATGTATGGATTTTAGAAAGATTTCCATAAAAGGTTTTTAGGTTTGGTTGTTAGGTTTTTAAAGAGATATTTCCTTATTTCATGGTGTCAGATAAATGAGGCATTTCTCTTCTTTCTCCCATAAAACCTATTCTTGAAATTAACTACATAGTTGAACTGACAGATTTAAATTTCTTTTTTTCTCTCCAACTTTTTAAGCAACTATCTTGTAAATATTGATGAGCACTAACATATCTCAGAAAAATGGCAACGAGGCTGCCTACGAATGCACCCATACTTCTCCCCTTAAAAAAACCCTTTGATTTAATCATCCCATTTAATACTCCTGTATCTCTCCTCCTGATTGTGGCTTAATCCCTTGAGAAAGCTATTCCCACTAGATGCTTCCACTTCTCTTGTTGAGTCATGTTCAACTCTTTGTGACCCCATTTGGGGTTTTCTTGTCAAAGCTACTGGAGTTGTTTGCCATTTCCTTCTCCAGCTCATTTTACAGATGAGGAAACTGAGGCCAACAGGGTCAAATGACTTGCCTGGGGTCACACAACTAGTAAGTGTCTGAGGCTAGATTTGAACTCAGGAAGATGAATCTTTCTGACTTCAGGCCTAGCACTTTATCCACTGTGCCCTTAACTGGGCTCCCACTTGCTTCTCCCTCTCCTTTAAACTCTTTGCATTCCAGCTTCAGACTTCATTACTCAACTGAAAGTGACCTCTCCATTGATCTCTTGATTACCAAATTCGATGGCCATTTCTCAGTCCTAATCCTTTTTGACCTCTTTGCCACATTTGACACTGTTGATCACCTCTTCCAGGATACTCTTGACAATTAAAAAAAAGTTATTTTATCTTTCAGTTAACAAATATTTATTTTCTCTTCCTCCCGCTTCCCTCCTTCATTGAAAAAAGAAAAAAAAATGAAACTCTTATAACAAATATGCTTAGTTAAGCATAACAAACCCCTGCATTGTTTATGTCCCAAAATTTATGTCTTCTACATCTTGAATCCATCATTTCTCAGTAAGAAAGTGGATCACGTTCATCATCATTCCTCAGGAATTTTCACTGCATTTGATGAGAGTTCTTAAACCTTTTAAAATTGTGTAACCTTACAGTGTTGTTATCAGATATATTGTAGTCCAAGTTCTTCTTACTTTGCTGTGTATCAGTTCATACAGGTCTTCTTCTGGATACTCTTTCCTCACTAGGTTTTTCTGATATTAC